AGACTGACTGCGGCTCGCCACGCGGAGCCCTTTATGTACATGCGTGGACTTCTGGAATAATCAGCGTAGAAGTTTCGACATGTAGAGAAAATTTAGGCCTCGATCAAGCAACACGATTTTCGAATATACCAGAACACTAAATTGCAGAAATAAAAGATGCGTCGCTCCCAGGAATCGAACACTGGCTTTTCGCGTGGGAGGCAGGCACAATAACCGTTAGGCTACGCGCGCTTTTTTTTTTTTTTCTTTATTGCCGGGAAAAAGAACACACTCATAGGCACACTAGAACATACACGAGAAACAAATGGCCCGCCTTGCTATGGCAAGCGTCCTGGGGTTTAAATTTTTCGCATGGTTACGAGTACTTCAATTTGCGGAAGCCACTCGGGAACACTTTCACGAGCCTTGACGAGTTCAAGAAAAGAAATAATGCTCTCACGGAAGTACTCCTGTGCTTCTCGTGCGTCACCGTCAGCGTGGCGCAAGGCCATCCGCGACCTCCAAATTCCGTGCAGACACAGTAGCATCACAAGATCAAACGGGACGCCATCATCGTTCTCCACAGATAGATACCTGATCCCGTGGGGCTCGAGCGGTAACTCTTTTTTCAATGTGCGCTGGAGGACGTCCCACCAAAAGACGCCATCCCAGTACTCTAGGAAGACATGTTCAATCGTCTCCGGTTTCTTACAAAGAAAACAGTGAGAGCCCCACGGGACTAAGAGGCCCTTATCCTCCATCCACGTTTTCACCGGTAGAGTACCGGAGTGCAATTTAAAGAAAAACGTTTTAACACCGGGTGGCGCTAGCATTCTTTTCACCCTTTTTAAAACGTCCTGACCCGGGCCAGCGGAGTACAGAGCTCTGTACATAGGAACAGGAAAAACAATGTCGCAAACATCTTTGTACAATCTTTTGCGTGTCACTTCACTCAAATATCCGTGAGAAAAACGAGTTAATAAAAAACGGCATGACATCACCACTTCTTTAAAGTACCCATGTATACCCCCAGGCAAGTAGGACGAAGAAATCACAAACTCGGGCAAAACCCGGCCCAGCCTTACTTGAAAAACAGTGCGTAAAAAAGGATCGCCAGCATCTCGAAAAAAAAGAAAACGGTTAACTACTTGACGCAAAAAAAGGTGCGACAAGCTGAGTCCGCCCTCGCGGACGCGCCGGAAAAGGTTCATTCTGCTCGTTTTCGCTCACGACGAGCCCCAAATAAAAACTGCAAAAACACGGTGAAGTTTCTGCACGTTCACTCTAGAACAATGCAACACTTGCATTACGTACTGCAGCTTGCTAACAAGAAACAAATTGCAAACTGTGGTGCGCGCGAAAATAGAAAAACCCCAACCACTCCATTTCTCGGCTTTGTCGCGGAGTTCACCAACTTGACTACGCCAGTAAGGCTCGCTATCGCGGTAATATTCGAGAGGTACACCCAAATACTTAGTAGGGGTGGATACCCACCTTATATTCGCAAACATGCTTGGTGTTACACCCCAGTCCCCGTGCCAGAAACCAAGACATTTGTCCCAGTTAACGGCACTTCCACTAACACCGCAAAAGCGCTTAACAGTGTCCACTGCTTCGACGACGCTTTCTAGGTTGGCACAGAACATAGCAATATCGTCCGCATAAGCCAATACACGGACTTCGGATGAATTTAGTCTAAAGCCAGTTATTTTACTATTTTTTATGATACTTAAACAAAATGATTCTATGTAAATGCAGAAAAGCAATGGTGATAACGGGCATCCTTGGCAGACAGATCGCTGTACATGAACACGCTTCCCTACCGACTTATTTACTATTAGCCTAGAACTACAACCACTGTACGCCATGCGCACACCCTCCCGTATAACTGATCCGACGTTGATATGATCCAAAACAGATAAAAGTACATCATGTGGAACCCGATCGAAAGCTTTCTCCAAATCTACATGCAACATGGCTACGCAACTCTGCATGGCATCGCAACACTCCAAGACTCTCCGCGCTTTATGAATATTAGTAAAAATAGTTCTTCCCTTTATTCCGCAGGTTTGATGAGAACCAACAATTTTAGTTATGACGCTTTGCAGCCTGCTGGCCAAGATCTTCATCAGTATTTTGTAATCAACATTAATTAGACTTATGGGTCGATAGGATGCAACATGCCGAAGTTTAACTGCGTCTTGCGTTTTAGGAATGAGGACGGTATGAGACGTTAAGAAGGAAAGCGGAAGAATGTTAAGGTCGAAAGCTTCGTTGAAGACATTTGCTAAAAAAGGAGACAATATATTTTTGAAAGCTTTATAAAACCCTGCACTTAGTCCGTCCGGCCCCGGGGACTTCCCGGGGTTCAAAGCTTCTATTGCCGTCTTAACGTCCTCGCACGTGATGGGACCTTCTAAAGCTGATTTTGTTGTATCGTCTAAACGCGGCATGCGAAACAAAAATTCACTTTTAAACCCTTCAACATTAACGGGATTGTAAGAAAATAACGTGCTGTAATAATCGAAAAAAGCCCTCTCGATTTCCACACTGTCGCTTGTGACTGTCCCGTCCTTTTCAATTTCTGCAATTTCATTACGACGTGCATGCTTTTTTTTCCATGCCCAGGGCTCGCTTAGTAGGCGCTTCACCCGCTATCAGTCTGACGGCTCTAGCTCGTATCAGGGCACCGCGATAACGTTCCCTATTTAGCAACTCGAGTTTTTCTTTCAAAGATAAAATATCGTCCTTGAACGCACCCGGCAATCTGCATTCCTCTTCCACCATCGCCTGCAAGTTTGAGCGCATTAACTTCTCATTTTTCTTTTCTTCATACTTAATTGCACCAGCTCTTTCCAGGGCAGTCATCTTGATGGCTTGCTTAAATACTTCCCATTTATGGCCATACGCAACTGATTTGTCTTCATTTTTCATTTGTTCTACCGCAGCTTGAACTCGATCCATAAAGTTTTCATCTTTCAGAAGCTTTGCGTTTAATTTCCATAGTTCCCAAATGAAAACTTTTTTCGATTCATTTTTACTGCGAATAGAAAACTCAACTAGGCAATGGTCGCTGAATGATACAGGACACACCCGATAATCGCGAAAAAGGGGTATTAAATCTAACGACAGATACGCTCGGTCTAAACGGGCGTGACTGACCCCTTGAAAGTGGGTAAAATTGACGACTCGCCCGTTGCGTAAACAGTCCCCAACATCCTCTAAGCCGAATTCAATAAATAAATTATTTAAACATACTGTACTTGAATCAACATAAGGTGTAGGGCTTGTTTTGTCGCTAGCCGAGCATACGCAATTAAAATCTCCAAGTAAAATAACTAGTCGCTGGCAGTTACAATAGTATCGTACGCCCTCGAAAAATGCCCTTCTCTCCTCAACTCGGGTAGGCGCGTACAAACAGATTACCCGCCATTCAAGGGAAGAAAAATCACACACCACGAGACGTCCCGAGACACAAGTGGTGACGGACTGTCCAACTGCCCCTATGCTCTGGCGTACCAACAGGACACACCCCGCCGAAGTCCCTACGGCGTGGCTCACGCAAACGTCGTAACGGGTAGTGAACGGGCGCACCATGCGCTCGGTCTGGTCCTCCCCATCGACCTTGGTCTCCTGAAGCGCGACAATGTCGAGGTCGTGCTCAACTACAAGGCGGTATAATTGCCGTTGCTTCCTACGGTCCGCGAGCCCTCGTACGTTGAGAGTCGCTAGTCGGACAGGCTTTTCGATAGAGACCATGGGTTAAAAGACCCAGACCAAGCGCACGGTGCTTACCTTCGCAGGTCGACATCGCACGGGGCCGCCCTCCGTCACACCAGTTCACGGTGTCAGCTTGTCACGGCGCCTCGACGCCGAAGATCGAGGCTTCGTTAGGCTACGCGCTCGCTGCCTACTTGGCCAGCTGCGCGCGCGGCAATATCGTGTAGTCGTCATCCAACTATATATACATTGAAATATGTAAATCAAAACAATACCCATTTTAGTGTTTGCAAAGCGAAGATTGAAAACAACAATAATATTATTTCTGAATAAAGCATGCATATTTACTTCAAACAAATGTTGGAGACGCCTAGTATATGGGAGCCATATTACATCAAATGGACACATTTGTACATAAATAATTATGTATTTATTTTCTTGTATTACATAAGGAGAGAATATAGATTAACTGAAGGGTCATCTGCAGACAATGGCTTTTTTGGCGTTATTGATTCTTCGAAATGTGTTTATTCGTAAACATAATCTACAAAAAGAAAACAAACAGTAACGTGTTTACATTGTGACATAATTAGACAAAAAAGTACTTGATAACAACTATAAAAACTATGTATTTTAGTTAATTTTGACATTTCGTTGAGGTGTTTGAGGCTTGTCTAAGTGAGGTATTTTTATTACTGAACTGTAAAGAAAGAGTTTGTTCAATAGAAAACACTAAAACGATATTATGTACCACAAACACAGCCCAAATGGTGTGTGTCGGTATGAAAACAACAATAACCGGTAACACATCTGCAACTCTCCCCGCTTATAAAACTTCTACCGATTCGTATTTTTCAATGCATATTCAATACCTCCTTGATTATTAAATTACGGAAGGTTCAACTCCTGACATTTTTTTCTAGTACTTCTCTTTTAAGAACCATCAAAAATTGTGTCATTGTCCCTTAATACGATGAAATATTTTTTTAAGTAGAGGTGTTTTAACTGAATTAACTGGAATGTCTATAAAAAGTCAAAATAAGTACATTAAAGTTTTGTTTGTCATTTAGTTGCAACTTTCAACGAAAGTTCGGACACCCTGTCTAGAGAAAGCAATTTCGAATATACAATTGAAAATCGCGCGTTAACGATAATTTTAAAAGGCGCATATTCGGTTGATTAAAAACGCCTTTGGAACTTAATGTAAGTATCCTTTTGGTTTTGATTTTAAATGGCCTTTCATAACAGGACTATATATTGTTGGGAGCCTATAATCGTGACAAATTTTCGCGAAACGCCAGTTATGTTAATACAGAATAGGTTCGAGTTAATAGTTTTGTTGGCATGTTAATCATTTGGGTACCTTTAGGATAAAAAAATGGGTAAGTACTATTTAAATACAAAATTATGTTAACAAATATGTATAGGTATATTTGGTTGAAAACTAAATCACAAAAAAATGCATAGAATAGTTTTTCCATACCCTTGTAAATGGGAAGGAGGTAGTAGTAGTCATAATCAGCCTCCGAATTTTTGTACTGTATGTTACATGTACTGAAATGAATTATTAAGAGATAGTAAACCACGCAATTATCTGCATTAGTATAGCCTCCACAATATGAGATATGATAAATACCCCAAGTTAGCGGCTTCACTGCGCTGCCGGCCTTAATCAGTTTTATAAATTATTATTACATATATTTACATATTCACAGTTACAACTTCCCAAATAAACCCTACCTAGTAGCTGAAAAGAGAAGCAACAACAAGCACGCTATTATATGACATGTGACATAAAACTTATTCCCCTCGTTAAATCCAAGACTTCAAATTTTATATAGGTATTTACAACCTACTGAAAAAGAAGAGTCGCAGCAAATCTCACTTCCTATTAACACAGTGTCATATGTCTTGTATAAACTATAGGTGACTTCATGCTCAATTATTAGGTATACCTAATATGCACATTTGCTCTCAGCTATCATCGTCATGTCAGTCGGTGCGTTTTTTATGCTAGGCTTTGTGGATCAAAAACTTGCTTTAACATCTCTTTTCACAATACTTGCAACGTGTATTTCTAGCATCAATTGTTTTCTTGTTTTGTTAGAATATGCAATTAAAATAAAAGCGGCTGCGAGGTTGTGTATAATAAACTATTACCAAAGCAAACATATTTCTTCATGAAGATGTATTATAACCCATTTTGATGGGAATCCCATTGTTTCTTCTTTTATGAAATATTGATATTGCTTACTGTGTGCGGGATGTAAAAATACACACGCACGAAGAATGAATCGAATGTAATAGTGCTGCCGCTGTTATTTGTGCAAACAAAGTGTTCATCGGGGAGCAAAGCAAGTATTACAGCGAAAAAAGTCACTGTTCGTTACACGCCGCCAAAATTGCTCGAGATAGTACAGCTGTGTCCTCGACACAACTTTACCATGCAAGAAGACGAGGAGATTGCGCTAAGGGCTAAATGGAAGACAAAGGAAACTGGCCCACTCTAAAAAACGTCTGTGAGCCTACTTTCCCGCACAACACTCGGAGAGCCAATCAGCACAACGTACGGAGGCAGCTCAGCGAGTGACGATGCCGAAACATATGTTTACGCCAAAAAAAAACGCAGTTTGACTTGTGACATTAAGCAACGCAAAACGTCACGCTCGCATTGCTTAATGTCACAACTCAGACTGCGTTTTTTGGTCTAAACATATGTTTCGGCATTGTCATTCGCCGAGCTGCCTCCGTAAGTTGCGCTGATTGGTTCTCCGAGTGTTGCGCGTGAAAGTAGACGCACAGACGTTTTTTAGAGTGTGGCACTACGTGGAGCGAGGTTTCGTCTGCCTCTTGCGCAGGGGTTTCAGTGGCGTCAAAACGGCGAGATCTGACTGAATTTGATTGGAAGGATAGTGGGTAGACCTCAATCCTAGCTGCATGACAAGCTTCCTTGAGGTCTACCCACATACTTCTAAGCAAAGCCAATCAGAGATCGCAGTTCTGACGTCACCACAACCTCTGCGCAAGGAGCAGACGAACATGCGCTTCGCATAGCAGAGCAGTACAAAAGAAGTCAACCAAAGTCTGACTGATAAATGTGGGAAACAAGATAAAAAAAATCTTCAAAAAACATTCGAGCGCTATTCCACTAATGAATACAGAAGTTAAATTCAAGTGAAAAACAAGGCGAGAAGTATTTCGAGTTAATTAGTGGGCGTACATCACTAGTTATCTTTACTAAATTGCAACTTTTTTACCGTAATTAAGTAAAGAAACAAATGAGTTCCGAAAATTTCATTAGGGTCCTTTTTTATGCTTTGGAGTAGAATCTACACCAGGTACGTTTTAATTTAAAAGTTCGTGACCAGAAACTAAGATAACGTCTCTACTTATTAATATTGATTACTTACTCTAACCACAGCTTTCGTTGATTCTTCTTCAGGCTGGTCCAGTTAGAAGGACGGCTGTAAGATCAAAACACTTTTGAGTCATATTCATTCAACGTGACTATATTGCGTCTGTTTAAATGCTGACAAACTGTCTCGTGGACTATAATAATCACGTGGAAAGTAGCAGTCGCGGTTCAGTAAGCATTCGGCATTTGTCAACCGCATTAAGGGCTTAGTTGCCCCGAGCGAATTAGAACGCTATCAACAAATATTATTCAAGCGTGGCGGTTAGTTTAGCCACTGTTCAGCGAGTGATAAGCTGCTCAGCGCCATGGACAATTCCCATTATTGCCAACGGTCAGAGCTAATGAAGCACTTACGGCGTTGCATCACCAATAGACCCAACAAGAAAACAAATTGTAGCACCAAACATAGGAGAAATGCACATACTGATCAAGCTTCAGCGCAGGAGTCATCTATATTTTCCAGTCAGCTTCGCTTCCTACTCCTTAGTAGATAATAACCCTTTAGCGCCGACCAAGTATGAGCCCTCAAATATTATTTTTTCGGTAACTTTATAATCGCTACTTATTCGTTTAGCAAGCGATTATTTGATGCGCTACTAACTTTGAAACGCTTCAGCCCCGCCTGGTGAATACGGCTGCCATTGTCACTAGACGTCGAATCATTGTAGAAGGTAGGAAGCTTGTGGTGATGGAGGGATAACTGAAGCTGCTCCCGGTTGTTATCCCCTTGTCTGTGATTACAGTGTTTACACCAGTTAGCTTAACCGAGTAGTGCATTTATAAAGGCGAAGATCTTGCCTACATTTTTTTTTAATTATAAACCAACCTTTAACTGGAAGCAAGTTCAAAATTACAGCTTTGCGTAAATCATCGCTTATTTAGTGACGGAGAAGAGACGGCAATTAGTCGTATTTACAAAGGATTCTTTCGAAAAAGAAAATAAAAATACATGACGTCCATATTACACGCTTTATATTACAACACCCATTTGAAATAGTTTAAAGTGTGTTTTATAATTATAACAAAATAGTGTTGCTCGCCGGGCGGAGCAAGCAGCACCCGGTCCCGAAAATCTAGAAGATTCGCGTTCACTCTACCTGAGGACGTAACGTCTATCATTTCGTCTTCGGTTCTTATTCTCCAAAGTTCCCGTTTATTTTCCCCCCAAACGCTCAATGCTCGAACTCTCTGGGCCGAATTTTGCCGATGCCGACGAGCAGCCCATAGCCTTGTCGAGTCAGAAGAATAAACGTGAATCTTCTAGAATTTCGTGACCGGGCGCCGCTTGCACGGCCCTGCCCGCAGCATTATCTCGCCGTCGATGAACCCCCCCCCCCCCCCCCCCCAACTTCAGTGCCACGGAATGACAAAAGCTAAGGGACGTTTTCGCCGAATACAGCGAATGCTTTGCGACGACGACGAAAGTGCGCCAAGAGACATTAACGAAACATCGCATCGTTAACAACGACAATGCGTTCCCTGTGCATAGACCACCCTACCGAGTTTCCCCGAAACAAAAAGAAGCGATTCATGAACAAGTACGAGACATGCTCAACGACATCTTTCATCCTTCAAGCAGCGCGTGGGCCTCTCCAGTCGTACTGGTGAAAAAGAAAGACAGAACACTTCGATTCTGCGTAGATTGCAGGCGGCTCAACGCGGTGACGAAGAAAGACGTATATCCGCTCCCCGGCATCGACCACCCCCTAGACCGGCTGCGCCACTCCCGATACTTCTTGTCGATGGGCCTGAAGAGTGGCGATACTGGCAGATCGCAGTCAACGAACGGGACCTAGAGAAGACTGCCTTTGTCATGCCCAGTGGACTGTACGAGTTCAAGGTGATGCCCTTCGGACTGTGCATGGCTCCAGAAACGTTCAAGCGTGTCATGGACACCATACTGGCAGATCTCAAGTGGTAGACATGTCTCGTTTACGTCGACGACGTTGTGGTATTCTCAGCCAAATCAACGATCACTTGCGACGCCTTCGGGCCGTTCTTGAGAGAACCAGGACCGCCGAACTCAGGCTCAATCCAACGAAGTGCTGGTTCGCCTACAGGGAACTGAAGTTTCCAGGCCACGTTGTGAGCAATGAAGGTGTAAGTCGTGACCCTGAGAAGACTCGCGCCGTAGCGTTATTTCAACCGCCCACCGACAAGAGGGCCGTCCGAAAATTCCTTAGACTTTGCGCGTACTACCAGCGATTCGTTCGGGATTTCAAAATAATTTCTGCGCCGCTCACGCACCTCACAAATGACGCCGTGAGCTTCGAATGGGGTGGAGAATAACAACAGGCGCTCGACGAGCTAAAGCGACGACTCCAGTCGCCGCCGATTCTCGGCCACTTCGACCAATCAGCCGAAATGGAAGTTCACACCGACGCCAACAATACAGGACTTGGAGCGGTGCTGGTTGAGCGACAAGAGGGTGCAGAGCGCGTGATCGCATACGCTAGTTGGACGCTGTCCAACGTGGAGCGCAATTACTAGACGACCAAGTAGGAATGTCTGGCCGTCGTCTGGACCATCACATAATTCCGCCCGTACTTGGACGGGAGTCCTTTTTGAGTGGTCACCGATAACACCACTCTCCGCGCTGATTAACGAGCCTAACTAGAGAAAGTCGCTGTCAGCTCCTTGTCTAGTCTGCGTCGGCACCGCGAAAATTCGGCCTGGAAGGTTTCAACATCGAACTTTCAAGCGAGAATGAACAGGCATTTTCGAGAACAAAAATACTAAGACGAAATGATGAAGGTTATGCCCTGCAGAAGAATAAACGCGAATCTTCTTTAATTTTGTTACCGGGCGGACTTGCTCGACCCTGAGCGCAGCAATATTTGTATCAGAATTGCCTTGTGTGATTTTGCGCCATAAAAGTAATTTATATTGTCACCAATACGAAGTAACAAAACAATGAATAACTGAGAAACCTAAAACCTAATCAGGCGGGCTTGTGCCAAAAAAAATGGAATTACTGGTGTCGCGGGTGTCCATGTTGGCGTAGCTGTGCGTTCAAGCGCTAGCAAAAGGATTCCTCGATGCAGCGCGCTGCGGATGCTTTTATGCACACTCCAATATACTCAAAAAGGTTGTAAACTAAAACACACGATGACTTTGCAAACCAACTGAAACATTCTAGTGAAGTAACAAACAGAAAAACAAAACGAGTCTAACAAACAAGGGTTATCCACGTACGTGAGAGCCGCGTGCGCAGTCAACTTGGACGCGCACGATATTTTTCTGCTTTATTGGACTTGGCTTCGAGGGTGATATTAATTTTCCTATTAAAGCCGAACCATCTAAGTTCTAATCAAGCAAACAAAAAATGCAACAACAGTGGTTGTGTCCTTGCATCATGCAGGTTGCGGCAGGACGAAGGTCGCATTTTAGTCGGGCAACCCCTCGAAGTTAAAACCCTTAAGGTAGCGAAGTCATGTAAGATTCAAAATAATGTTTCAGGCGTTTCTCTCTCAGACTGTGGCGCCAAAACAGTGTCCAAACCGACACGCGTTTCCCGGACTAAAAGCGAACGTTTCGTCAACAAAACATTGTACCATGAGAGTGGAACCGGTTTTGAACTTGGATTCTGACCTTTGCAACTTGTCGGACCTCCCTCGCGCGTTGAGAAATCAACTGAGCATCGTGGTTGGTGTCGTAGATTGGCTTGTGCGGTAGCATTGCGTCGAGCATAAGGGTTACTCTCCTACCGCGCCCCAGCTGTAACGGCGTCATTCCAGTAGTTTCTTGAACCGCCTTGTTGTTCGCGAAAGGTAACGTACGGCACCATTTCATATCACGCATTGTGCTCGACGTCTACTTGCACCGCAATTATGTCAGGGGTCGCCTTGTTTAGTCCCCCAGTCAATCGCTTATTCTGCGAATAGTTTTCAGCTGTCACTCAGTGGCGGGTGTGGCTCAAATGAAAAACATATCGCCTGTCCTGAGCCATGTACTCTAAAAAACGATGTAGCCATTACACCCCTCGTCACATACAGTCCACCCCAAAACTTCAGTTCGACGTGCAAAGCACTGGCGTTGAACTGACGGCCTTAACATTTATGAAAGGCTTGATGACGGTGCGATAGAACGTAGTGTAGGGACTGGACGCACCGACAAACGAGTCCAGTCTCGGCACTGGAAAAAGACAAAAAGACGCGCGCGCTAGCTATACGCTCACGCGCTCACGCGCTCACGAAGAGCAGTTCCTGACGAGACACGACTGAAATAAAACGTTGTTTTGGAACGTCCGTCTCCTGCCTGTTTCTTTCACCACATTTGGTGACCCGGACGTGATCGCCAACTAGAACGGGTGAAATGCAGTAAACAGAGCCTTCGGACCCGCCGCCAGCCACTGTCGCACCAGCCGCAGTCCGCCTTCCACCGTACTGGGACCGCAATCCGCGAGTTTGGTTCCTGCAAGCGGAATCACAATTCCACCTCGCTGGGGTCACCACACAAAGTCGGAAGTACCACCACGTCGTCTCGGCTCTTTCACCAGCTGCCGCCGACGAAGTCTACGACGTTCTGGCAAATCCCTCTCCAGCAACACCGTATGACCAACTGAAGAATGCTCTGCTCCAGCGCACCGAGGTATCGGAACGCTCCCGCGTGCAGCGGCTTCTCTCAGCGGAAGAGCTCGGTGACCGGCGGCCAAGCCAGTTGCTGCGAAGCATGACCCAGCTTCTTGGAGAGCGCTCTAACAATCTGGACGACGTATTCCTCCGCGAGCTGTTCTTGCAAAGACTACCTTCCAATGTCCAGATGGTTTTGGCAACAGCAACAACATTGGACCTCACCGGACTTGCCGCTCTGGCCGACGCCGTGGTGGAGGTGACCACTCCATCAGTCGCCAATGTTACCGTGGCTCCACAGCAACCAACAGCCCTGGACTCTGGATTGGCCGCCAACAGCCAGCCTCCCCAGGCCAACATCGAGCAGCTTTGCCAAAGTTTGGAGGAGATCGTCGTTGCAGCTACACTAGGCCGCGCCCCCCACCCTCGTGAAACCCGTCGCAGACGTTCGACGTGTCGCCGGGCACGCGGCGAATCC